TTTATGTTGCTTGGTGCCAGTCACTAAGTTTCCAAAGAATGCAGCAGGATTGTCAGCAGGCCAGACTGACTGCATTGTACTGCTTCATGTTTCCCTGCACCTGATACAAACAACATCTGCTCTGAAATAACATTATGAGATAGAGTGGATCATTAAGAAGGATCACAGAGCTTGGATGTTGACCATCAAATATCCAATACTTTATGAATTGGTTAGTGGGATTTTAGCAAATCATTTACATGCACAAAAACCTTTAAAACACATTACAGGAAAGGGAAAACCCCAAAAAGCAGAATAGGGCCTCTTTTAAAAGCAAGACCTGTGTCTAAACCGTGTATTTTTCACCATGCCATGCTACAGCATTGCAGGTATGTGAGAATGTTCACACCCTATAGCAAACTCCACTAAACATTTACCATAGTCAGCTATTATATACAGTCAAAACGTTAGTCATGCACTAAATGTGATACTTGTAACAGGAAAGTTCCAGTGGCGAAAGTGAGCAAAGTAAAAAGTATAAGTGTGCATGAAAACTGTAGTGATCTTCCAAATATATGTAGCCTATTATGCACATGCCTGTTAGTGACTGCACCTCTAGAAATAACAGCGCTGCATAAACATCAGTGACTTATTAAACTTGTTCCACCCTGTCACTTTTCACAAGCGGAGAAAGATGAGCATCGCATGCTGAGCGAATATCAACTGGTTTTACCACTTTTGTGTTGCAAGGGACATGTCGCAGCTTTTCAGAGCTGTCTATTCACCTATTGTTCCACCATCGAGGAAATATCAAATGTCTCGGGTTCTGCTTTATTTGAGTTAGACAATGAAAATCATTCGTTAATCTCACAGTGATCAAATGACTACGTATGCTGTGGTGGTATTGGGTATCTTAATCTGAGGGTTGGAAGGGTTACTTTATTTATTCCGTTACTAGTTACCAGTCAAATAAATACATAATTCCCATGACACATACCTTGACTTGGCATCCTTGGTGTTTTCTTACTTCTTGTTAGAACAGGGTTAGGCCAACACAAAGAAACCTACTGAACTTGGTCAATACGAACATGAAGTCAAGTCGAGGAAGAGAAAACAAACAAGAAAAATTAGCGAGAGTTGAGACTGAGGCCGGATTCAAGTGTTCTTCTGGTTCAGGGCCCAGACTGAATATTTTCAGTGAAGCACTCATGTTTGCACATGAAAGCATGTGAAAGGTTGTGATCTAAATGTCTGGACCACATCTGGCTGCTCTCCAGACAGCCTCAGAACTATTCAAATTGCCCCCGAACAACCCTGATAAGGTCTTTCAGCGTTCAATTGTCTCCGTTATTAATCCAACATCTGGAACAACACAGCCAAAATGGTCAACTATGCCAGATTACAGGACATGCTATGTGTTGCTCTCTGAGGGAGGGGGTTTGTGCTGTGAGGCTCCTGCTGACATTACTTTGGTGACTCTGTGGATCAGAGTCGCTGAATGCTAATAAACATGAGGAATGAAGGAGTTCTGTTGTGTAACTCAACACTGTTGTTGCCAAATCCTTGTTTGGACGGCTGGAGAAAATGTTCCCACCGGCAGGGGAGGAAATAATACAAATATACTCCTTAATTAAAAGCCAGGTGAAATCGGTGCAAAAACAAAATAGCGTCGACTAGAATATTTGAAGCCATTTTTAGGACTCGCAGAAAAAAATAGAATGGGTAATGTTTTTTTCCAAGCTGTGTGTTCTTTTCACTTTTTATGTTTTATAGTATCTTTTCAAATGCATACAAGAAATCAGCTTCCGCAAGAAATGTAGTGGTAAACACGTCAGTGAAGAAATGTTCCACTGCCCACAAAGTTATTTTTGAACTTTGACTTGGTTTCCAAAGTCTATTAACACTTCCTTTTTATTGCACAGTTTCTCCATGCTTAATGTCACTATGTCATCTGATGGTCGCTTGATTGACAGGTGGCTCAGAAATGCATCCATGAAGAAATTAGGATTATGAGTAAGTAACAAAGTTAAAGTCCAATCACAACGCTTTTCAAATAAGTGATTTATGGATTAGAAATGTGTACATATGAAAAGGACTTAACAGTTCGTACAGTAACTCCCATCTTTACCCAGAGGAGAGGTCGGGAGGAGGTCATTCATGACACATTATTTTATTATTTGTACTGCTGTATATTTGGAGCCAGCTGACTTTTCGACAGGGTGGCCTCTGATTCAGAGTTTCAGAGTGACTCTCAGCTGGACTGAGATCTCTGCGGTTCTCGAGGAGCTTCAGATAACAAACAGAACTTTATATGAACTTGAGACGGCATTTTTGTTATCCCAGATGATTAGGTCGAGGCAGCAGAGAGTGGGAGTTCTGACTTTAAAGGATTGGTCGCATTTTAACACACTGATAAAAGTAACTTTGAGATTATATAATTGACTGGAGGCTGTATTTTCTCGGTTGTCCGTCCTATTCTCAGGGAAATGATATCTCAGGAATGTCAGGAGGGAATTTGGAAATTAGACTCAAGGATGAAGGTCAAGGGCACTGTGACACTCAAATGTGTTTTTTTTTGGACATAACTCAAGGATACAACCGCTAATTGTGACAATTTCACACAAACGAGAGGCAGTTGCTCTTGTTTTCTTTTGCTACCTAGATTTACAATGTGTCTTTTATTTACACAAGACATGTGAGTGAAGAAGCAATTTATATTGTAATCAGCCACTCCCCGGTTCAGGAGAGGATAATAATCTGTCCTCAGGGGAGTAGTTATTATCAACATCATGTTTACATTACACTGGAGCCTCTGGGCTACTTATTTAGTGATGTGCGCTAGTTCATACTAACTCTATCTGTCTCTGACAACATATGAATTTCGGCTGTATGTACAAAATTGACACTTAAACCATAATTTCGTATAAGATTGCGATATCCCATATGACATTACTTTTAATTGTCTCCATGGACCGGTGTGGCTGAGTTTTGCCTCCATAGACAGTGATGAATGTGTCAGTGTTGGCTGTAACTGAGGCCTTTAGATGGGACACGTGAGATATACATACTACTATTCAGTGAGTTCAGGTCAACAAACATCTTGTCATTAGTTCAGGAAAACGCAGTTCAATAGAAATGTGCCATCTTCTCAAATGTTATCATGACATCTTCGTCACAGATTTGACAGTAACTAGTAAAAGTTATTTTGGTAGAATATAAGCGGTTCAGTGGAAATGCTGTCCGAAGCATTTTACTGGAAGTCAAACATCCTACAGTCTGCTACTGTACGTCACTGTCTGGGCGCGTAAAGGAACCGCAAGGAGTGAACCAGTCTTACATGAAACTTTCCCATCTGGAGCTCCTGTGTGTACTTTAATTACTTTGACAGATATGTGGGACTTCATAGTGCCGGTAGTCCATAAACATGAAGTAGTTGCTGCATACACGCTTAGAAGTGGGGAATAAAGAGGCCCTATATTATATATTTATTTGAACTGCTGATATTTGACATGTCTATGAGATTTAAAGGCCCATCAGCAACTGATTTTGATCCAAGAAAACAGGGGAATATAAGAGATAACTCGTATGACAACTATACAGATGGTGAGTTACTGTCATGCTATCAGAAAATAGACAAAATACCAGAACCACATAAATCCCATTGTGTAATCTATGTCTCAAAAATTACAATAGCAGGTTATTTTGGTATTTCTTTACATCTAGTTATGAATTCATTTCCAAACAACTCCTTAGTCACATCCGCTGCTTCATGAGTTTTACAGTGGGCCCAAGCAGAAGTGGTTTCACAGCAGCGCACAGTGTTCCCAATGTTAACGGTCAATACAGATAACAGATTCAAAGGGAAATATGACTCTGTTCCCGTTTACTGTACAGGCGCTATCTCTGTCTGTATCCGTGCTGCCAGACAGACATCACAATACAGGTGTGTCTGCAGATACACAGTGACTCTGATTTCTGCATTGTTATGGGGGCAGACTAAACTCTGGAACTTCTGTGCTCTTAAAACTGAAAAGAAACAAGTTTACCGTTTGATCCAAACACCAAGAAGTGAGCTATTTGTGCTGAGATGTCACAATAATGAGTGATTAATGTTGTGTGGGTTGCAGCCAGTTCCCAGTATGTTGAGCAGGGTTAGGATTAGGGGGCGGATTGACCGTTATGCAAAGTTATGCAATTGATTTTAGGCTCCATGACCAAAGAAGGACACAAACACACATACAGTATGTCCAAGTAATCCTTTCTTAGGTTTTGTTTTGAAGAAATCTTTCATCACTGCTTTCCCCCCCCCCCAACACGTACAGTATCACTGCAAATTCATCATTCCTGAATCATGTTTGGGCGACTTCTTCTGAATGTTGCCAGTCACATCAAGATACGATTGGGTAATTCTGTTATTGCAGCAGCACAGGTTTATTTTTAAATCCATTTTTATTTATATTTTGCAAGGAATTTCATATGGAACAGATTTCGACAGGTCTGTTTACAGTTTTCTTAGACAGCAGTACTACAGATACATAGAGAAAGTAAAAGGTATACTAAAATAGGAATAGAATAAAACCAGAACGATACAAAAAAAGACAAAATGATAAAGTAGACAGTGGAATGAATAATCTACTGTATGTGATCATCTGATTGATTGTGTTTATTGATATCTTTATTATTCAAGATTCAAGGCTTTTATTGTCATTCATACACAGTGTAGTTATGTCGATGAAAATCTTAGGTCCCTTAATACAACTTTGAAAATAAGACATCAATTCAAACAAACTGGAATTATTCGTATTATGTGGACAAGGTGTATGATTGTCTGGCATGTGCACTCCTTTTTCTATTATGTATACTATAAACTGTTTCATCATCCGTTATCAGTCCTTTCTGCTTCACTGGCTTTGCTTCTGAAACAAGCTTTTGTGTTTGTCTGAACTCCGTGTCCTCTCCTCCTCGGGACACTCATTCTGAATTCCTGTACATGCCTCGTCCATAATCCCATTATCCCTCTGCAGGAACAGCGGTCTGCGGGCTCTCTCCCTATCTGATCCCAGTCCTGCTTGGTTTTGGAAACAAGGTGCAGACGGTCGTGTCCCTACAGGTGAGTATCCCACCTCTGCCAACCCAGCAACCTGCATACCAACGCATCAACAACCTCCTGCACATTCCTGGGCAAGCTGCAACAGCGTGCACTGTCCCACTCTGTGGAAGTGGAAATTCACTGCTTACACTTTGGTGCTGCAGTATTAAACACGACAACATGTGTTTTAAACAGTTGTGGGGAAAGTATTTAATTCCTTTATTTGAGTAAAAATAGAAATACTACGGTCTGAAAAAGCCTTGTGGAAAGTACAATTCCTGCATTCAAAATGTTACTTAAGTAAAAGTGAAAAAGTATTATCAGCAAATGTGCTTTGAGTTTCAAAAGTGAAAGTACTCATTATGTAGAATGTCTCTTTTCAAATTCGTATTATTATAGAATATTATATTGCTCCTTTTTATATACCTAACACATTTATTTAGGAGCATTTTTAATCTTGTAGTTTGTCAATGTTTAGCCAGTTTTAGACACTAAAAAAGGTATTGTGTTAAGTATTACAGCACTGGATCATATCATACTGGCACTGTGTTTTTTATAGGCGAACATGATAAAACAGAAAGTAAAAAGTGCAATATCTCCCCCTGAAATGTAATGGAGTAGAAGTATAAAGTAGCCTAACATGGAAATACTTATGTAAAGTAAAAGTATGTCAGAATACTTGAGTATTACTGGATTCGACACAGTCACGACTCTGTGTGTTTGTTGTGTGCCAAAAGGTGATTCTCCTTAACCTGAGCTATTGTTTTCTGAATTATGTTCCCAACACTTGGCTGAAAGAACAAACGCTGTGCCAGCCTTTCATCTGAGCACGAAACATACTGTACACATAATGTCCCGCCCTCAGGGAAATGCCTTCTCCAGTAATTTGTTAGTAGCATTTCATGGGTAATATTACTGGCTATACTTAAATCGCAGGATAGGATGGTGTGTTGATAGAACAGCTTGTTATCACGAGACGAGCCGGGCAGTCAAACTCATTACTGAAGCTGGATTAATGACTCCCTGCTTATTAAATAAATGTCAGTGAAGTAGATAAAGTAGTTATACCACAGTGTAGAAATACTTGCATTCAAGTACTATTTTAATTTTTTTTTAAACAATATGTTTAGTAATGTTTCATTCTTTTAAACAACATAGTTACAAGACACACCATACCTTACGCAAACTTATATTAAAAAAATGAAAAACAGGCAAAGACAAGACAGGATCTAATAAATAAAATTGAAATATATAATAAAAATACATTAAATGAAATAAAATAAAAATAAAAACAATTGGGCAGTAGCAACCGAAAAAGTGTACATGTTAACTTTTCCTTTCAACCAGATCGCTCTCATGGATTCTCATTGTTATTTCTTAGCATGTTTGACACATTAACATTCCCTAACAGTTGAGTAAACGGCATTCAAGTACTAGTAATGTATGTAGAATGCTATTTCAACAAAATATATCATACTTTAAATATAAGTGATGCATACATGCCTAATGTTGCAGCTTACAAAGGAAGATTTCAAATATGTTATGTCTCGGTAAAAATACACAATTATTTATCAATTAATAACATTTTTTAATTAATAATCTGATTAATAAGAAATGGAAATATTCAAGTTGATTTCAAGTTGCACAAATGTGTATATTATGTTATAAAATACCATATAACACCCCACCACTGACGAGAGCATTATTATAATAATACTGGTGAATTCAGAAGAAGTGGAAGTACCAGCAGTCCTGTGTTGAAAGTGGAAATGTACCTGTTAGGTGCAAACCCTAACAGGAAGTGGACGTTGTGATTTAAACATGAGTTGAATAACATCCTGAGTAATTTCGTCACTGCTGTTTTGGTGACTCTGCGTCTAATGTTGTAAAATAAATATTTCCAGAAGTCTTTTAAAAAAACAAAGAGCGATTTAATTCATTCTTGGCTACCCATATTGGTTCACGGTACTTACTTGTGTTTTTACTTTAAAATCCGGATAGGAAATTATAAATTGTTAAATATGATCTGGGATGTTGCTGAACTACCAGTATCAACAGGAAATGCACTTTTAATAAAAGCTAAACAAAAATAACAGCACCAAAGTGGAAGATGACATCAGTCGCACTTCCCTCTGATATATAATGTTTCCCTGATGAGTCCTTACGTGCGAACTAGCATGGTTTGCTTTCTGTTTTGCAGAATTATGTGGATTCCCTGAACTGCAAACTGCTTACAGCTCGTAAAGAAGGAAAATGGAGGCATAACAAAAGACAAAAAGTAAGAATAAAACTTGAAAAGCAAGTAAAGAAAATCTATTAAAACGATACCATAAGTGTTTTTCTCAAATGAAGAGACGGTTACAACTAAAAGCAACTCTTGTTTATCTCAGTTTTTAGATGACGACATTCATTTAAACGGTGCAACCAAGGACATGTGTCTTGTGCATTTACAAAGACTTGTCCTGGCAGGTTGGCAGAGTTTTGCCCATAAAGCACCCTCCTGGCACCCTCCTCCTCCGTCCACAGGGAGGTCGGGTGGTCTGACAGTGAGCAGGACTCTGCAGCCTCTCACCCACAGGGAGGTCGGGTGGTCTGACAGTGAGCAGGACTCTGCAGCCTCTCACCCACAGGGAGGTCGGGGGGTCTGACAGTGACTCTGCAGCCCCTCACCCACAGGGAGGGGATCAGACAGCAACGCTAAACAGAATCCAGCGTTGTCCCTGTGGAGCTGGAACTGCTGAGGTGTGAGATTCCCTGCAGGGAGACAATGCCTGAATGAAGAGCGAGAGGAACTGTATGGGAGGCCTCATGCATTGATGCAACTCTCCCAAATACCCAGGAATTCAAGGAGGTTTAGTCCTGTTTTCAGCCAGTGTTGCTACACATGTTTCACCAGAAGAGTATTAATAAATGATTTGATAAATGACTAACCCGAAGAGTTTTTCTTTATGATTTCTGTCTACAATACCAGCACTTTGCACAACTAAACAGTCTGCACATTATTGAGCCATTCGGCGATGCTAGGTTTGGGTTCACTGTTTTCAACATGGTGGCATGTCTTTGCTGTTGTTTCAGAGTTTGACTTCCCTTTGCTAATTTCTAAATCTAAGATACAAAGGTTAAATGTGCCTCTTCCTTCACATTGCATGGAAGTGAACAGGAAATCGTGCCCTAATCGTTGGGCTGTACCAATCGCAGGAAGTGAACAGGAAATCGTGCCCTAATCGTTGGGCTGTACCAATCGCAGGAAGTGAACAGGAAATCGTGCCCTAATCGTTGGGCTGTACCAATCGCAGCCTCTCAAGCCAAGCGCATTTAAAACACTATTTAAAACAGTTGTATCAGGAACTGACCCTATACTTACGAATAATGATGAACAACAGAGACTTTTTATGTCATTAATCCAGCCTTGTATTGATTTCTAAGTGACCCATATAACAGAAATGTGTGTTGGCAGGTTGGCAGGTTGGCTGACTGTGCGGAAAATTGAGTCCAGGAATGCAAACCCAGTATGTACTCCTTATCGGTCATCAAGTGGCTGATTAGCAGCCTCAGTGAGGACGCTGCACAATGCTTAACCATTTCAAAGCTGGAACAGGAACCGTTCTACAAAGGAACCATTTGGTCACCAGTAATGTGTGGATAGGATGTTTTCAAAAGGAGATTCCTGCACCCTTACTGCATGGACATTGGTTTTGTGCTACTAGATTTGAAAAATACCTAAATGTGTTGTGATGCAATTCATTCCTAGGACTGTTGAAGATCAGACGTATCAGAGAAGCACAATGTGGGTTAACTTGAAATGAACTCTCATTTTAAATGAGCACTTTCCCTTGTTGGATGTGCCTAAAGGAATACTTCCATACATTTTAAATTAGCTACTGTTTCCAAATATGCACGAAACCTTATCTGAGTACACATCTTATACATGTTGGTACTTGTTACATTAATCTTCCAACATTTTGCTTCACTCTAAAAGTCCAAATGAGTGCAGCGAGTCAGGCTTTAGTAAATAGCAAAACAGGAAGCCTAGGTGACGCCCAGTCTCACAGGCCTTAGTCTTTCAAAACATTTCCCCAGAAAAGAATCTAGGAAGAGTTTCCTTCTCCTTGGACCTTCTAACACGAGAAGATGGCACACCGTCAGAGAAACTCCCGGGTCAAATACAATAGAAAATTATTCACAGCTGTATGTGTTTGATTTGGAGCGACACAATGTGGTATCAGTTATGGGTCTTGACATCAGTTAGTAATAATATTTCAAAATGACATTGTTTTGGGACAAGGGAAGTATTAATCGCAACAAACTTTTACTGATATGTGCTGGGTCCAGGCTCAAGGGCATATGGCACTCTCAACTCTTTCCAGCACATGCCAGGGCCCTGCCTGCCAGTAGCTTTGCCGATATCTGTGTTGATAGGTAATAGATTAAGAGCGGTAAATCAGTTTAGAAACAGGAAGTGCTCAAACGTTTGTGTGAGGTTATCAAATTTAGCAGTGATTCCATGTCAGCCACAGCTTGTCACAAAATGTTTTACTGATAGTGTATTTAACAAACTTAAACTAGCTTTATTAAATGTCAGGTCTTTGGCAGGAAAAACATTTTTAATCAATGATTTTATCACTGAGCACAATCTCGATTTTATGTTTTTAACGGAAACTTGGATTGAACAAAATAACAGTGCAGCTGTTCTTATCGAATCAACCCCTCCCAACTTTAGTTTTATGAGTCAGGAAAGAATGCATAAGAAAGGGGGTGGAGTTGCTATTTTGTTCAATGATTCCATTTCAATGCAGGAAGACATCTTATGGGGACTTTGCTTCTTTTGAATATGTGGGCCCTTCAGCTGAAATGCTCCTCTCGAGCTCTGTTCCTAAATATCTATAGACCACCCAAATACTGTGCAAGCTTTTTTGATGATTTTACTGAACTGCTGTCTATAGTGTGTATTGACTTTGACCGTTTAGTCATTGTTGGTGATTTTAACATCCATGTTGACAACCCCCAGGACAGAGGGGCTAAAGAACTGTTTTGTGTTCTTGATAACTATGGACTGACTCAGCATGTGGCGGAGCCCACGCACAATAAGGGGCACACTCTGGACTTAATTATCTCAAAGGGTCTGAATATCTCAAAGGTTGTGGTGACTGATGTTGCACTCTCTGATCATTCCTGTGTTTTCTTTGAGAGCTCTATTTCTGTTCACAAAAATGTTCAGAAAGAGGGTAACCACAAAGCGATATTTAACTGAAAATACTAGGGAAATGTTTACTCATAATTTCTCATCCACACTTGCCCCTGCTAACATCTCAGTAAATGAGCTAGTAGATCATTTTAATTCAAAAATTAAAAATGTTATAGATACCATTGCTCCAACTAAGGTAAAGGAAGTGATTAGCAAGAAAATATCTCCATGGAGAAAGGCCATGACCGTGAGAACAGAAAAAAGAGAGTGTCGAAAAGCTGAACGTAGGTGGCGAAAAACAAATCTCCAGGTTCACTTTGAAATCTATAAAGAGAGACTTGGCCTTTATAATTTGGAATTGAAAAACGCACGACAGTCTTTCTTCTCTGACATCATTACCAAAAACAAAAACAACGCACGTGCCTTGTTTGCTACCGTCGACAGACTAACTAACCCCCCAGTGTCAGTAGCCTCTGAATTTCTATCCACCAGGGCGTGCAATGATTTTGCCTCCTTCTTCACTGACAAAATTCAGAAAATTAGACAAGCAGTCAGTGCCTCTACATCAGGTACAGCAAATGTTTTGTCCCTATGTCCACCTAATATCAATTCAAACACCATGACACAATTCCATCAGATTAATGGTAAAAACTTAGAGGACATTATTCAACTTCTGAAATCCTCCTCCTGCTGCCTTGATATTATTCCAACAGGATTTTTTCAAAGATGTTTTTCCTTGCATGGCCTCAGATCTACTTCATATAGTAAACACATCTCTTCACTCAGGTATTTTTCCAGAGGCCCTGAAAACTGCAGTCATTAAACCGCTCTTAAAAAGAATAATCTAGATGCCTCAGTAATGAACAATTACAGGCCAATATCAAACCTGCCATTTCTAGGTAAAATCATTGAAAAAGTAGTATTTCAACAGTTGAGTAACTTCTTGCATTTAAATAACTGTTTGGATGTGTTCCAGTCAGGATTTCGTCCAAACCACAGCACTGAGACTGCTCTTGTAAAGGTCTTCAATGACATCCACTTAAACACAGACAGTGGCAGAACTTCAGTGTTAGTATTATTAGATCTCAGTGCTGCATTTGACACTGTTGACCACAACATATTACTAGACCGACTAGAAAACTGGGTGGGACTTTCGGCAACAGTTCTAAATTGGTTTGAGTCCTACTTAAAGGACAGAAAAAAACTTTATTTCTATAGGTAATACACATCTGAGTTGACAAATATGACATGTGGGGTACCTCAAGGCTCCATCTTGGGGCCTCTTCTCTTTAACATCTACATGCTACCACTGGCTCAGATAATGAAAAACAACAAAAATAAGTTACCATAGCTATGCGGATGACACACAAATTTACGTAACAATTTCACCAGGAGATTATGCTCCAATTCAAAACACTGAGTAAGTGCATTGAACAAATCAATGACTGGATGTGTCAGAACTTTCTTCTCAATTAAACAAAGATAAAACTGAGGTAATGGTTTTTGGAGCCAAGGCAGAACGTATAAAAGTTAGCGCTGAGCTTCAGTCTGCAATGTTCAAAACAACAGATAAAGCCAGAAATCTAGGTGTAGTCATGGACTCTGACCTGAGTTTCAACAGTCACATTAAAACAGTTACTAAATCAGCCTACTATCACCTAAAGAACATATCTAGGATTAAAGGACTAATGTCACAGCAGGATTTGGAAAAACTTGTCCATGCTTTTATCTTCAGTAGACTCGACTACTGCAATGGTGTCTTTACAGGTCTCACTAAAAATCTATTAGAAAGCTGCAGCTAATTCAGAACGCCGCTGCTCGAGTCCTCACTAACACTAAGAAAGTGGATCACATCACTCCTGTTCTGAAGTCTTTACACTGGCTTTCCTGTGTGTCAAAGAATAGATTTCAAAATATTGTTGCTGGTTTATAAAGCTTTGAATGGTTTAGGGCCCAAAATACATGTCTGACCTACTGCTAAATTATGAACCATCCAGAACTCTCAGGTCTTCAGGGACTGGTCAGCTTTCTGTCCCTAGAGTCAGAACTAAACATGGAGAAGCAGCATTCAGTTATTATGCTCCGAATATCTGGAACAAACTCCCAGAAACCTGCAGGTCCGCTGCAACTCTTACTACTTTTAAATCCAGGCTGAAGACTTTTCTTTTTGCCGCTGCTTTTAATTGAACTATTCACATCTTAAACTGCACTGTAACTTTTAACTTTTATCCATGTATTTTTTCTTTTTTTTCTTTTAATGTTTATTTTATTATCTTTCCTTTTTAATGACTGATTTTAAATGCCTTTTTTAAAATGTCTTCCATTTTTGTAAAGCACTTTGAATTACCTTGTGTTGAAAGGTGCTATATAAATAAACTTGCCTTGCCTTGCCTTGCCTTGCCTTGCCTTGCCTTGCCTTGCCTTGCCTTGCCTTGCCTTGCCTTGCCTTGCCTTGCCTTGCCTTGCCTTGCCTTGCCTTGCCTTGCCTTGCCTTGCCTTGCCTAATCTTGATTACTGTTGACTTACTGTCGAAAAGGATGTAGGGAAACAACGGAACACATTACTTTTATAGTTGATATCCTCAAAGTATTTCATCTTCTAATGTGTGTCCTTTGACCATTTGTTTTAACAGCAACTCAAAGATGCATTCACAACTCTCAGAAATATGTAAATACCTCAAGTGAATGGAGGTGATTTTCTGATAGAAACTTATTTTTTCTAAATGAAACCTTAGTGCACATAGAATACTTTCAGTCACGAAAAATGTAAACGTATCCAAAGACTAAGGCTGGTGGTGATGGGGAGACCGGACCATATGAGTCATTTTATAACCCATTTCTCATTTATTTGCTGAAGGTTGGGTGTAACTACAGTAGGACTTAGGAGTTTTATTATGTTGTAAAACACACAGTATGGGAACTGGGATCAAACATTAATGTTGAAGTGTTGCCGTAGTACCCAAAACGTCAACCTTTAGTTTCAAAACGTCCGAACAGTTACTCATCCATATTCACACTCTCATTCATATTCACACACCTCATTCATATTCACACACTCATTCATACTGTGCTACTGTATTGATGATGAGGCATTTTCCAATGACTCACTTCTGTGTAAACCATGACATAGGGGGTAAAAAATGACCGGAAAAGCTGTATTTTGGACACAACTCATGTGTGACTGATTGTAACAGAGACACTTATTCGTACAAGAGATGTTGAATTTGAGTATTCATACGCTGAAAATATGTCCTTATATGGGGAAGACAGGCGAATAAAGACACATGCATAAATTAAAAACCTGGAACCCTGGGTTACGTCATCTTGTTTTACTGACTTCTAGAATGTATCTTTAGATCCTCCTGACTTTGATTCCAACACACCTGATGTGGTTAACGAGCCCTTAACGAGCTCCAGCTGTTGATAACGAGCAGCACACAGACAGCTTCAGGAGAGGTGAGGAGGGGATATTGATTCATGTATTTCTTTGATCAAACTACAGCCAGAAACAACGTTAAAACACGAGGGTTTGAATGCAAAAGCAGAGATGGCGTTGGCACAGATGAATGGACTGCAGCGGAGCATAGCTAATGCTTTTCATGGAGTTAAAAAGACTTAATCTCACGTTTGGGATCTAACCATGACTAACACAGTAGCCTTTGTGTTCTCGGATCTATTGCCCGCACTTCATTCCTGCCATTGCCCATTAATGTGTTGATTATTACAGTAAAAAGTGAAGTGTACGAACACTGGCTGCTCCTTTCTTTCCTTCCAGGGAAAGGCCTGGGAAAGTAATTAAGCCCTGACTGTAGCATCATCTGAAATAATAGACGCAGAGGCCCGATGATCTCATGCCTTTTTGTATGTCTATAATGCAAAGGACCAGAGTAGTAATTGCAGTCCAATACTGTTGTTGTTGATAACTGTGTTAGGACTTTAGTGCTAGGAAACACCACAACATATGAAGAGACAGGTAATGTGTTGTATGAGGAATAAAGCCCGCAGTCAACAGTGTCTGGGAAACTTGAAGCTTTATTTCCACTAGTGGTAATCTTGTCATCCATTACGCATGACTAGTCAACCAGCTTTGACCACGTTGCTCTGTTAGCTAGATAATTACAGGGAGCATAGGAAAATATTTTTAAACAAAAAACAGGGGTTTTATTTGCTCTACTCTTTAATTTTCCATGCTTTTAAATGTAAAAGTGAGCCAGCGACTCTGAATGAAATATGAGTCATGTGTGTTAGCCTACATGTGTGTGTGTACGTGCTGGAAGCTCTCACTGTGCTTTTATGAAGTGAAAAGAATTGCATTTGCATTCAGTCCTTCCCGTCAAAGGGGTTCTTTGGTATTAAAGCCACAGTTGACCGTGCGACAAGTGGGCCCCTTTTTTCCAGAGAGGGATGGGGGGGAGGGATAATGAAGCGGGACAAGCTCTGGCACAATGCCACTGCAGGACAGTATTCCCAGCCAGCATTGAATTACTAAAAAAAAATAGCCACTGTTTTGCTTGTACGAAACACTGAATATAAATGATCCCTGAACATTTTGCAAAGCATGTAATAACGTGTTTTCATAACTTCTGAATTGATTTAATCTTCATGTGAAAATCAACTTGCCGAGACATCATGTAACATCAAGTGTGATTGATACAGTTTCTATAAACACATTTGTTTTTCTAGTTTCCGTGTGTCTGGATATTTAGCATGCCTCTAAACAACAGCGTCTATATTTAAACCTCCCCTTCACCCACTGAAGAGGTCTGAGGAGATCCTGACTCACACTCTGAGCTGAGTCTGTCAGATCCCCAATGATGTGATCACGAGAGATCTAATAAGGTTACTGGGGGGCCGAGAGTATATATAGTGATGTGGTCGGCATACCACTGCAAAGCATGTCATCTGTCCTTTAAACCATGACTACACCACCGACGACTTTACTACTGAAGAATGGGAGAAATGTGTCAACAAAGCGTGCTGCCTGCTTCAAAAGATAGATGGTGGACGTAAAGTCTCTAGTTTCAAGTGAGCACATCATCCTGGAAAAAAAGTGCCATTTATTTATCTCTGTTTGTCTAAGCAACTGGATGTGGTCTATATCAAAACTCAAGCACTCCTTGTGTGTTGATCGGTGAAGATAAAGAGAGAATTATAAAAGCTCTTCATCTTGGCTCGGGTTTATCTGTTGGCTCTTGACTCATAAACCTGTGCCTCGCCTTTAAGTAAACTTTGATCTCAGGCAATGTAAAAGGTGTTGTGAAATGGGCGTGGACAGGATTGCTGAGAGAGAAATACAGTTTTTGAACTGTATTTCTCTCTCAGCAATCCTGTCCACGCCCATTTCACAACACCTTTTACATGATCATGATCTTCAGGCTTTGGCCTGAAGATCATGACCCAATGAGAACTATGTACCTTTTATTATAATGATATGTTCCAAAAAGCATACAGTTATTTATGTTGGGTGGAAGTTATGCAGCAATAGTCCCATTGATGTTTGAATTGTTTCAACACAAGAACAGGCATGAAACTCTCCCAGTTTAGTCAGCACTACAAACAGTGAGCAAAAACATAAATCTACTTGTAGAATACAAACAAAGTGAGCTGCAAATCCTCCTGCAGAACTGACGGGGGAGGTCCGGGGTTACGCTTTATAACAAAATATATTTTAGATTTATGATGCATTTTGGCGAGTCTGCGTTAGTTTGAAAAAAAGTGTTCTGATTGAATAACTGATATCATGATAAAAACTGGCCTGTACCCACCATTGAGGACCCTGAAGTGCAGATATGGTGGGTGTTTAATTAGATTACTTAACAGACTTACGACACAAATGTATTTTAATGTGTAATCTTTAAGAAATCTGGAATAATTGGATGTTTTATTTTGTTTTTGTGAAGCCATCTGAACTGCTTTTGTATGATATGGTGCTATAGACATTTGAAACATTTGAAAATAATTATAATTAATAATAATACTATCATTTCCATAATAAATATTCGTCAGAGCCAGGATAACACATGTATTTGTTTACATGATATGTAAGATTGGAAAGCGTTTTAACTATTACATTATCAGTGTTTAAATACCCTAATCTTACTCATCTTGCCAGACAGACACATTAGTCCATCGCAGAAAATGCCAGGTCTGTTACTTTGCATTTAAAGCACGGATTGCTCTGCCTCCAGGTTGAGTTTTGAGTGGAAATTGTTGTAATTCAGGAGAAAACCTTTGCATCCGCTGGATGAGCTCAGAGGGACAGGCACGCTCTGTGTCCCCGTCTGGTGACGTCAGCGCCGGCGCTCCTTATATGGACTCGCGCCTCGCTCTTACAGTAGTATAACCAGTGGGTCGTTGTCAGAGTGGACTGAGAACCGAGAGGATTTACACACAACACACACCGAGATCAGAGCCCACAGACACACACTCTGAACCTGGACTACATTACCGACATGGTGACGATCAGACTCCCAGCGGCGCTCTTTGTGATTTTTCTCCTCACACACTCTGCCTCAGGTGAGTCCTAGCAGCTCATACACTATTGTCCTATTATTGGATTACATGCAACTTTAGTAAATAATGTTGGATTATTTTGTCTCTGATTTTTCCCAGCATCAATAGCAAGGTGTGATTTCAGTGACTGTAATGTGATGGTATGGGGAGTATGAGAAATTATAGTCGATATTAATAATAAAAAAGCTGCATTACAAATATTATACAACATGATAAATAGGTAAAATCATAAAATGATAGTGTTGCAATAAGAAAATGTGTGGCTTTATATTTTTGTCATTCTGTAGAAACATCAAGGCATACTCTGGCTTTGCAGAATCTTATCTTTTTTTTATTCACTTATTATCTATATACAGATATCGTTTTTCTTCGTCAGAAATGCCTGTTCATATTTTCTTCTATCACTTTATTGAGTTTTAAGAGGTGTTGTAGAGCAGCTGTTCACACTAGGGCTACCTCATGTGCAGTTACCAGAGGCTACTTTAGTTTTTATAACAATTTATTAGAATTATATTAGTTATATTGAGTACATTTAACAATATGTGCTGCAATTGAGAGATTGTGAAAAGTAGTTGAGACAGAGACTAATATAAATATTTAATATATACGTTACCATTTCAATTTAAGAATAGCTGTAACACTTTAATGTGCACGCTCCGTTTGTTACCTTAAACAGTATCAGCATTTTTGCAAATCATTGGTTTTGCCACAACATGGAAACTAGAAAAGTTAGGGGATTGTATCTGACCGTGGGACTGACCAGTTTCTAAATCTGGGATCCATTCAGATTTTGGGAAACCCCGGGCAGCCTTTAAACCCTCTGTGCAGGAACAACTTTCTCTTGTGGGTCCTTCGATGCTTAACTAACTTGGAGTTTGACCAAAACAAGTTTTAAAGACTGTGTTTGGAAACATGTTATACTGACAGTCAGCTGTTGTCAGTCCATACAAATATATAACCACAAATCTCTTATTTACATTAGTGGGCGTGGTGTTTTTTCACATTGTAAACCTGGTGAATTAAACACATATCTGCTTCTCAGATCATGGTGTGATTTCTCTTTCGAAAGTATGTGTGACCCTTAATGTTTAGACCACATGTCTGAGTGTATGCTGACATCAAAACACTGGAGTTTCCACAGCTTTTTCCTCAGGAAGCACCAGTCGTTTCACTGCACATGTTTATCAGATGCATTTTAGCAAGTGACCTATTTATGGCATTGTTTGTTGGGATGTGCGGCTTCATCTCATGGGAACAAAATCTAGAAACAGATCAAAAGGAAAGGGTCTATAATTGGCTTGACCCCTGCTTGGAAGGAAAACCAAAAGGATCATAGGATGTTTAAAGTGTTTTTTTGCAAGCTGACGAGCTATGACATATTTCTCATGCCAGGCAAAGTCAAGAAGTCCTTTGTATATGCAATTACGTTTTAAAATGAACATTGTAGCTGTTGATGAGGATGAATTACAGAAGTGTTGATAACTAGGTTTGGTGGTTGTACTAAAAGTTGTGATGATGTCCATTCATTTGTTGATGTATAGAAAGTATTTGGTATTGTATACATCAGTGATGATAAAATACTTTTGATGTATTGCTTTCTAGCTAAATGTGATATAGCATATAACACGTCCTCTTTCATTTTCAGGCTCCTATCCCCGAGCACAGAATGTCACTTGGAGATCCACTAACTTCAAAACCATTTTGACTTGGGAGCCCAAGCCCTCAGCGAATTACTCCTACACCGTGGAGTTCTCTGCGTAAGTACTGCACTTGCATCCTTAGAGAACATTACCCTTAATTTCCATCTTATTGTATTCCTCTAAAAGACACATTAGGGTTGTCAGTAAATCCGCTAAAGTGCTCTCTCCCTGACGTGGCCGCTGAGTAACCTTGAGAGATAAATGGCAGCAGGACACGATAAGAACCAGTTATTGATCCAGTTTGAGATTATACTGGAATGTCGATTTCAAGCCAGAGAAAGTAGAGGCAGCACACAGACATTATTGATTCAATAAGAGAAAAATGAATTAGGCAAGAACAGTACAATGCTACCTTTGTGGCTCACGTTAAAATTGTTGCTGTTAAGTCGTTAGAGAGCACAATATCTGCTGCGTCAGAAAACGTTAGTGTTTAGCCAGAATGCCCTGATTGGTTTCCGAAAATGATCATTTTAACAATCCATTCGTGGAAAATAGCATGGGCCAAACATGACTAGATGGATTTTTTCTAATGGAAACTTGTGGGACTTGCCGTGGGATTATAAATTGTGCTTTAAATCAGTTTCAATGGGAACATTTTTGTCTTTGAGTGTGTGCATTTTTGCTACACAGTTTAAAATAGATGTATCACAGGAGCTAAGGTGTGATACTTTGTGTATTAACACACCAAAATGACAAACAACAACTCACTGCTCCCCTCTATACTTATTTCTGATTATCATTCTTGTTCTCGATTCATTAAATAATAGTTCTTGTTATAACTTACAGAAACTCATTTTTTCTTTTATTGCTCGTCTGATGTCTGAGACAGTTTGTATCCATCGCTCATGTCATGTGACTGATCATCTGTTTCAGGATTGGCAGGGACAAGGAGAGGAACCCTCACTGTATCCGGTCCACAGCCACAATGTGTGACCTGTCCGTGTTCCTCACTGACCTGTCCGTCTGCTACACGGCGGACGTCCTCTCCACCCCCCTGCTGGGGGAGCTCACTGAGCTCACAGAGTTCCCCAACACCGCCTCGTCTCGCTTCTGCCCCTCCAAAGATAGTAGGTTCTTGTTTTTTTGTATTTTCCCTGTGTGCAGCACAGTTCTATCAAACACATTGTTCAGGCACATGTTCATGCAGATCAGCAGAGGGAAACAGCTGACACACAGCCAGAGAAGGAAGTGTCAGCGACTCAGTTTAAACATGTTTTTATTAGATTAGTCCCGCTTCTTATATCTACTGTTTGTTGTTGTTGTTTGCATAAATTACAGTGCAGAAGGAGGCAGAAAACCCCTTGGGCATATTTGAAGCCGCCACCTAAATAATGTTAAAATTCACAATGAACTTCCATAATAAATGCAGCTTCCCTGTTTGATGTAGCATTTCTAGCTACATTTGCTGTTTGACCTCTAAATAAAGGGGTTTAGATAAAGGCTGTAACTGATTATAGATATCATGACAATTTTCTTAAATATTGATATAGTTTGGTCTATATGTCTTTAGAAAACTGCTGCCAATCAAATAAAAAAGGCTTGTCCCAATTTCTGAGTGATGTTGTCAAATGTTCAATTTAGTATTATTATTATTCATTTAATAAAAATCAGCTGAATTGACAATTAAGAAGCTTAAACTAGAAATTCATGCTCCCTAATTTATCCATAGATCATTGTAGAAATGACGGACATACAAACTGACCCCCCTGTCTCTCCACAGCTGAAATAGGCAGACCTGACTTCAAGCTGACAAAAGACAAAAAGAAGACCACTCTGTATGTGTCCGACCCAATCACCGCCCTCTTCAAAGATGGCCACCAGCAGACCATCAGGGACATCTTCTCCGACCAGCTGCAGTATAAAGTCACCTACCGGAGAAATAAGAGCACTGGCAAGGTGAGTGACAGCAGACATTACAGTGTGCACCTCAAACACACAGTGAAAAGATGATGCTAACTCAATTCTTTCCTTCTGTGTGTGTGCAGAAAGTGTTGTACTCTAAGAGCAATGTGATAGAGGTGAAGGATCTGGACCAAGGGGAGAGCTACTGCTTCAACGTGCAGGCCTACATCCCCAGCAGAGACACGGACAAACAGCTGGGGGAGATGAGCCAGACGCAGTGCACCAAAGACGACAACCAGTCCATCTTCGAAGGTGAGGTCCTGATTCCCTGAGAGGTTGAAAACAGGAACAATGTGTCACTGACAAGTAGAAACCTGTGTAATAATCACAGTAATCACACATCAGACGTCTGACAGATACTTGTGTGATTTACTTGCAGACTAAAGGAACTTCAACACGATATATTTGCATGTTAGCGGTTAGATCCTTGTGCTTCTGTTGCTTCTTGCACACTGATTGTCATTTTGTACATTGGAGTGATATTCTATAACATGTGGGTGTCTAATTGCTCCTGTGCAAAATGCATGTATGCACACGTTTTGAGTATTTTTCACCACCTTTAAAGTGTCAGTGGAAAGGTGTTTGCTTATCTTTAAGAAGTAGATAGTAGATATTAAGTAGATATTGGTCGGACAATGCAACACTATTGTTGTTCAGATTTGTTCCGTATGGGAATAAACATGAACATTTATTAATTAACATTGCAAATCCAAATGCAGTTGTGTGAAAATGTTAAACATTAGCTGATAGTGGTAGATTTTCTTGTGTTTATTAGTGAAAATCTCCATATGGAACATTTTTGTGAAGGCGCTGAGATTCTTTTTTGAAATCCAACAGCAACCTCTTGTGGAAGCAATAAGCATTTATATTTGTGTAGGTGGTATATTTCCTGAAAGTGCCTTCTGGTGGTTAGCATTGCTTCAGTTAAATAAAAGACAAACAGAGGGGCCACCAAGCAATACAGACTTATACAAACACATATGTGATGCTGGGACGTTGGGATGACCCGATGACTCATGTCTCTTTGTTTGGATCATAAGAAATGCAACTCAGCAACACTCCCTCTGAGTGGGAGCTGATCGGTGTGTGTACAGTATGTGTGTGTGTGTGTGTGGGCTCCACCCTCAGGACAAAACCTCAACCTTACACAGAGTTTTCCTAAAGACATCTGAAGGAGAGAATCTTTTATATTATCTGTTTTTCTCTTGTTGCCAACGACTCCCACATTCAGTCCTAATGACAATTATATTCTAATATAGATATCTTAAGAGAAATATAGAAAACCAGCCTTTCACTTTTAGACCTTTGGCCTTACTTTTAGCGCGACCCTAAGGAAAAAGAATATTGCATCCTATTGGGGGATTTAGACTTTTGTTCTTGTGTATATTTCATTGTCTACTATCTTTTAAAAAGGTTTTTAATGTTAAGTAAAGCTCTTTAAAAGTAACGTCTTGTTTTGTCTCTGCAGTGTATTCAATCGGTGTGATCGCTGGGCGGCCATCTTCCTCATCCTGCTGCTGATACGGCTTCATCATCGCCATCACTGTGGTCTGCATCAAGCGTAGGAAAACGCTCTGCAGAAGAAAGAAGAAGTGCCACTCAACCGTGTATAGAGACACACACACACACACACACACACAGGGCAGATCTAATCCAGATTTCATGTCAAACACTGGAATCTATCCTTTAGTTTCTATGAAACTGCTTCTGAATATGTTGGACATATTTTATTTCTTTTTCACTTGATGCTGCCGAAAAAGAGACTTTAGAAACACTGTTTCAACACCTACTGTACATTCGTCGTCCTGCTGAACTGTAATATTTCATTCCTTGTTTTTATATCTGGTACTGCTGACTGTAGATAACACTACCAACTGATTTTATTATTTCATTTTTAAGTGTATTTTCCAACTTGAAACTTTTGGGAGACTTTATGGGAAATCAATCTAGATTATATTATTTTTGTATCTGATGCTTAATTTATTTGAACTGTGATTAACATATGTGTACATGATGTGATTTTTAGCTGTTTTATACTTCAGATTGTTGAGGATTATTTTATATTGTGGTGGAAATGTTGGAAATCTAATAAATATTTGCAGAAATTGTGTTGTTTTCATTGTCTCAAACTAGTCACTGATGTACAGGCTGCAGGGAAGAAGAATACAAACTAGGGAGGGACCATATATGATAGGCGTATTGGAGGCGTGTGGCGCAGTGGTTTAGTGCGCTGATCTTTGAATCAGAGGATAGCAAGTTCGAGTCCCACTGCAGTCAGCATGTCGTTGTGTCCCTGAGACACTTCACCCCAAATTGCTCCTGTGGGGATTGTCCACAGTATTGAGTATGTAAGTCGCTTTGGACAAAAGCGTCTAACAAGTAACATGTGATGTAATATATAGATTTCCAGCCACTCTGCACCAAAGGTTCTGGTAGAAAGGAAGAATAATGAAGTTATTGTTCGACTAACCTGTTTTTGTTATGGCCTTCATCAGGGTCATAAAACATTACAAAGATTATTTAAAAAGACAGGCAGCTAAAGTAATCATATTCCATAGGTTATTCTTTCTTGCTTTATATTTTGATATGTCCACATTACTTTGTTTCTCCACAAGGTGCCTTCAAAGAAAGGAAAAGCTGAAAAACCTTTTGAAAAAAACATTTTAATTACATTGTAGGTTTTTGAGTGCAACAAGAAACATTCATTTACAGACTTTGATAAGAAGTATTTTCCCATAAAAGGGAACCAATTAAGTCATACTGAAATAATACATTATACACATTTTGCATTGCTAATTAGAGCATTGTGGGATGCACACAATGCAATGTGTGTCAATATATAAAAAACATAGTGTAATATGTACACACTATACATAAAAAGTAGTACATGACTTTTACAAATACCCTGATTGTCTTCCTGAGTTTTACTGCAGAACACATGATTGATTTGAGTGTTGTATGTCTTTTAAAAATGGACCTTGAGTCTCTTCAATAAAGCTGATGATTGGTGCAGTCCCTCATGGCGTGCGTTTCTGCAGCTCCGCCTGGTACACACACTTCCCGTCTGTCTGCATGAAGCTGAGCATCATGTGATGCTTGCTGACCTGGAAGTAAGCCAGCCCCCCCACGGTGTGGTTCACAGGGCTGGAGTACAGCTGCCAGGACGGGGGGACGCTCCCTTTGTGAGTGGTGGCGGTGTCACTAACCGTCCCACTGCCACTCACTGCATAGGAACTCCCATCATCCTCTCTGATGAACTGTGGGAGGACGACAGTGTCAAAGGTGTAATGTGAATTTTGGGACACATTTCCACGTACACAGTATTGTTTGTGTACCTGTACTTGTGGTCGTGGCCGCTCAGGTACACCGTGACGTTGAACTTCTTCAGGAGGGGCCTCAGTCTTTTCTTCAGACAGGAAGTGGGTCCATGATGGCCGACGGACCACACGGGATAATGACCGGCCACCACGACATAGTCTGACCTGAGAGAAGGAATATATAGACACATGTACATTATTTGTAATTTATTTCAGTCGTAATAGTTTCATAATTAGTTTTCTACGTAGGATTTTGTTTTTTTATATAATATTTATTTATTTTCTTAATTCTTTTTTTCTCCTTTCTGTTTTTCCTTCACGAAAAAAACAAACTGCTTTCGCAATTTTTTGGCAATGACAAAATGTGCCACCGTCTAAATAATCTCACTGACTAGTTAGTGCCTTTTATAATTATTCTTATTATTCAGTGTCTCACTTGCTGCTGGCCAGTTTATCTGAGATCCAGCCCCACTGCTGCTCTGCGGCTGAGGGGTCCTCGGGTCCTGAAGGCTGCGAATGGTCGTACGTGTTCCCACACAACACCACGGTGTCGATCATCAGGACGCCCACCGACACGTTGGTGTGGGGGACAGCGAACTGCAGCTCGTAATACAGACCTGGGTAATTCCTACAAACACAAACAAGTTTTAAAGTTATATCAAATTATATATTGATAGAAAATATAGGAAGCAGGGTTTTGGGGTGCCAAATGTATTGATGATTTTACAATTTTGCGGCTGATATATATCATAATATTTAGCTCACTTTCACACATTTGATACAGAAATGTATGTGAAACAACCTGGTTTGTGTTATCGGCCGCTATGTTTGAATGTAAAAACATGTTAAATAAAAAAAAGAAACAATATTTTGTATTTTGATTCAAGATTGAGATTTAATTTTTACATACAGTTGTTAACAATTACATATATGTTTCTGACTGAGGAAGACGAACCAAATGTGAGGAAAGTGAGCTAAATATAAAAAAATGAGCTTGAAAAATATATATATATATATTTTTTATTAAGCGTCCCACAAGAAAATGTAGAAAGAGAATGCAACCACATTTTAAATTCATTATAATAGAAGGGTGGGAAGACTAATTATAAATTAAGTGCACAGTGGGATGCTTTTCATTCCTGTTTCAAATGAAATAATGTTGTTAGATATTTACCATCGCTTGGATTTGTTGGAGTAAGCGATCTGAGCGGAGATGTTGCCCCTGTGGTCGTGGTTTCCTGCAGTGAGGTACCATGGGATATCCAGCAGAGAGGCCTGGGAGAAAACCCCTTCATATGTGTACTGTGGATGAAAAATGTTCATTAGGCCTACATTTCTTTTAAATGTGCCACTGTATGGCTTCCATTGATATGACTTCTGCCTTATCACATATATGTCTCAACCCCACGGTGTTTGCTCAGTGATCTGACCTTAAAGCGAGGGTCGTCCACACTCTTCACACCGTCGAAGTAGAAGTGATCTCCCAGGCTGAGCACAAAGTCCCACCCCCTCGTTGCGGGCCAGCCTGTCCAGCTCCCCAGCCACAGCCTCCTCATGGGGGGTGTAGTACGGAGGCAGAGGAATACCCCCCCAGTCCCCGAGCACCACGAAACGCAGGGTGGCTGTGGAGAATCACAACACTGCTCTGTCACTTCCTCATTAGAGAGGTTTCAACACATGTGATTTACCTTCAAGATTTGATTGAGTCATACTTCCTGAAAAAATAACCTTGAAAGCTTCCTGATTGGAGACATTATAACGACATTATTTCATTTATATTTCCAGGCGTAACCCTGGCTCCTGCGTTACCTGGATCCAGAGTGTGTATTTGAGTCCAGGAGTGTTGTACGCAGAGCACCAGCAGCACACACCTCAGTCTGTCCATTACTTCTGTCTGTTTCTGCTCTGTTTAAAAGTGAAACCACACCACACATTGTGACATGTGACTTCCTACGGCAGGCGAGAAAAACAAGTTATTGGCTCGTGATCAACAAACTGAATGAGTTGTTGAATGCACGTTTCTGTAACAGTCACGCAGGTTCCATTGCGCAATATCACATTGACAGCTGGGAAAATGTACAAAACGATGACAAGACCGGCAAGTCAAGTGGCTCCATATAATTACAACTGTTCTCTCTGTGAAACTGCTTTTAGTTTGTACACCTGTATATCATGTGTATGTTTTTATCTTCATAATTGGCAGTGTTTTTTATTACATCACAACAATGATTTTACTCAAACGTACTCACTTTTTTGGATTGCGTGAGAGCTCTGGGGATGATTTGGCTCCTGGTTCAAACCTCTGGATTTTAAGTTATCAAAGAAACAAGCTGAGCAAAACGTTAGAGGTGACTGCACTCAGGCCTTAACTCTGCAACTCTGATGCAACAAAGACAACAAAGGAGCCAGTAACATTTGAAGACAGCAAAATCAATAGTGTTTATTCCGTCCTACACTTCCATATCGTGGGTGTAAACATGAAAGGTTGTAGCTATTGTAGCATGTAACGATGTATTTGTGTATTTGTACCTGTGTACTTTTGTTATGAAGTAATTCCTTTATTCTATATTTGTATACCAACAAATCTCATGCAAATACCAACATGAACAATGCGTCTGTATCTTATTAGTGATATAAATAACAAACCTTTTAGACACTGGACACTTGGTCAATGTGGATTTAAAAAAAAAAAAACAGGAGTAATTGGGCATTTATTGGGGACTTTATTCAGAATAACATCAGTGGTATTCTTTAGATTCCATTCCCTCATTAAAAGTAGGGTAGGTAAGTTTGAGAAACCGGCTCGAGATACACTTTTTGTTATATTCCATGGAATGCTCTTAACATCCCGATAGCAATGAATATCTTAAGTGCTTTGACAAAAAATCCATTAAAAAATGTCATCAGTGGAAGCCGTAATACTGTAAAAAGTACGACCAATCATTTTAGCCGGCCCGGCTAAAATAACTGGATGGCCTACCTGCCTGTCAGCCTTCCATCTGTGCACAAACTTATCTCGTGCCCTCATTGGTCATGTGCGCGTTCGTGTGTGTTGGAGGAGGGGCTCTATAAGGAAGTGGCAGATTTTCTCCGGTTGTGTATTTTCAAATTCTAGCGATCTCGAGCCGGTTTCTCAAACTTACCTACCCTACCTTTAAAAGTCATCTATTGAGTTAGATGAACTCAGTCACCTATGTTTGCTAAGACTCCACAGAGGTGTTGTAGATGTGCATTTATGTTGGGTAACATCACACAAGGTGCTGAAAGGGAACAAGTGTGTTGTATAAGGGCCTTACAAAATGAACAACTGTGCCTGTACATTGTGTTTCAGTGTTTTAGGAAAAAAGGAATCGAGAGGCGGCATGACAAGTTGGATGAAGACAAACATGCAATGATATCACAAATTAAGTGCTAAAAAGAAAGAAACAGAAGGGAGACTTTAAAGTTTAACTTCTTCATATTTGTATAATATTATAGTTTACTTTTCATTCAGGAAGTATGACACTGCGCTGTCAGTACACTTGTCCCCGTTTCTGATTGGTCAAATGTTGCTAAGCCCGCCCCTTTCACGTGAACACGCTCTCAGCCAGACAGAGAAACCCTGGTTGATTACCGAGTTGATAACCAGCGTCGAGCATCGTAGGACCGCTTAGCGAGATCTCGTTTGTTAGGGTTAGTTAAGCCAGATAACTCAAACATATCTGTTGAACTGGCTTCATAGTACAGGCCACTGATCGATCAGGCTAAGCTAACCTGTAGCTGCTCCCTCCAAACTCACAACAACTTCATACAGGCATAAATAAAGCAGCTGTATTCGCCATACAGGAAACACACATTTAAAACGGTTTTGCCTGCCGTTTTGTAACTCAAGCATTCATTAATGGTTCGGAAAGTGGCGCTGTACCTTAATAATATAAAGGCTTGTATTGCGTGCATTTCCTGTTCGGAAAGTGGCAATGTACTGAGAGTGGAGGTGTCCTGAGATTGGCGCCTGCAGGCAGGCTCCATGGACCTGTCAGCTCCGAACAGAGCAAATGCGTACATGAAGTGCTACGTCATTAACGCAAGAAATCATACCCTCGTGGGGGCGCGCTCATATGATTGGCTTAGAATGGTGGGAGACATCTGATTAGAGTCACGAATCGGGTGACCGTCAAGGGAGTCACACTCAAGGGAGTCACACAAGAATGCACAGCGATCCATGCACACAAGCGGGTTGTGTTTTTGCAGGTTCAGCGGTTTTTAAACGGAAAACAAATATGTGTGGATCAAAAATACATATGTAAAACTTTTTGTCTGTATTTGTATTTTATTTACATGTATATGAAACGGAACACATTTGTGTGTTTTTGTGGTGGGAGACACTGTCATCTCAAAAACATTGATAAGAGTAAAGGGGTAAACTGTGACTTGTAAAGAAATATTTTCACTAACACTTTGATGTTACATCCCTCAGAGATGTCTATTCTTCTTCTGTTAGAGAAGGGGAGGTGATCTGACCCGTGACAGGGACAGAGTCACACGGATCAGCAGGGGTGGGAAGGAAAAAAAGAAGAGGGAGAAGGGAAATTCGTTTTTTTTTTTTTTTTTAAAAGGGTCTATAAAGTATTATTACCTACCTATACAACTTCAAAGACATGCTAAATGTCATATAACCTTATATTACCACAAAAGAGTTAATAAGTATTATTACTGCATCTTAAAGAACATTACCTTATAGAGGGCATTACAACAACAAAAGGTGACCCAAACAAGTCATACTATCATCATCATTGACTATAATGGCAATTAAAACGTAAGCTAAACAAACAAGTCATAAAAGATAAGAGGGTCAGGGGTCCTAGAGGTCACGACATCAGGTTGTCACATCAAAGGGTAGGGGCGGGACCACGGGTTTTATGGGGTCATATAACTCACTCTCTTATCAGGTCATAAATACCAATTGACAAAAACCCCATTTATTTAAACTACTCACGCGTTACAGTAATTAGATACAATTATTATCTAACATTAAATTATCTCTGACGCAGAGTAATTTAATGCGTTACTGTTGGTTCAGCAGTAATTACATTACAGTTACTAAGCACATATGTATCTTGTTACTTGTTTTTACTTTAAGGTCTTCGACTATCAGCATACTGTGAGGACACACAAATAGATCAAACGTCCCGTTTCACTTGCACTACACTCGCAGTTCATGGATGAGGAGAGGGAGCAGAAAAGGACAGAGTCTTATAGCAGAGGTAAACTGTCGCAGCAAAACATCGTGGAGGCAATACTGCATGTTTGGAATCGCCCATCAGACAGGAACACATTTGCACATTACCTCAACCCGAGTTGCCCCATGGAAACTGAGCTAAAGAAAACAGAGGTACATTCATAATCAATAATCTGCCTGATATTCAAAGGCAAAAGTGTCTCTGACAAATTTGCATGAAGTCAAATGATACCCGCATCAAATGACATTTATGTGCAACCTCATTTGCTATTTCAACAATTGCAATGTAAACCTACACATTAGACCAAACAGAGAGCGTACGAGATGGACGTAGTTCTTCTGCTCATGATGGCTTGCTGCAGGCAAGTGATTTAAACATCTGAACATCTTTTATTATCTTATATTCCTTTATAACATTCGTTTTTTTTTTTATGCACCTCTGTTATTATAGATATTACTAGCAATTCCCAACTGAATGTACATTACATTTTGTATATGTTATTTCTGAGGAGCCCTGAGATGATTGATTCAGAGGAAATGTTTAATCCTAGATAAATAGAATAACATTATGTCATTGAATGTTATACATTTGATGTAATGTTTTAAAGGTCACCTCTTATATAATATATGAAAGAAGAATACGTATAAATGTTTACAATATCTGTGTCACTACAGGGCTGTGTGCTGTCTCATCACATGCTAAGTCCATTCGTCGGTACACTTTTTGTCTATGGCCGGAAAGAACAGGACTGAAGCTCAAAAGTACTGCAGAGAGAAATACACAGACCTGGCCACTGTGGACAGCGAGAAGATTGTGAAGATCCTGAACAACGCGGCAGATTTAACCAAAATGGTCTATCCGGGATACTACCATGTGAGTTCATTTTTCCCTCTCTTTCATTTCCAAGCCAATTTCCAATTATCATTCTGGTGACGTTGTTTGAAAGTTTTAAAATCCGACCCTAAGTACAACCTAGTAAAAAAGTATTAAACAACCCTCTTAAAAATGTAGTTGAGGAGTTGAAAGTATTGTCAGTATAATACTTCTATAGTAACTTCTATAAACTCACCACACAGTGTGTCACTCAAGAGTTGCATGAAGGGTCTGTAACAAAAGGAGGGAATTTCCTGTCCATAGACTTCGTTAACTTCGTTTTTTTAATTAAAATAATAATAAGTTTTTTCATTTTTGATTGTTTGTTATGTGGATTTGTAGTATTTGTGTTACTGTATGTTCAATAAAGGTGTATTTTTGTAAAATCTTGAGACATTGCCACTGTATGTACTAGGCAGGGCCGATTTTGGAGGAGGAGAGCTCTCCTGCCAGACTGAGAGGCTCAGTGAGGTTAAAGGAGTCTCTGAGTGTTTAGATAGTTCACTTTAGTCTAAGTTATCTCAGTGGGTCTCAAACGTTTTGACCACAAATTATGTAAACACATATTTCCAAGGCACTCCTTTATAATTATTATGATAAATAAAAACAGGTTTGAAATCATTCCAATGTATACTATAGGACAGTAAACCAAAAATATCGTTTTAAAGTTGGAGAGATACAAAAATATGCATGAATAAATAAATGTTAACTGGGTAAAATAAGATATAAATTAACAATAAAAAAAAAAAAAGTTACATTTATTTGTTATTGGCTATGGTAGGTTATTGGTTATGTTCATATACTTATTTGATTATTAAAATGTAAACCGATCTTTTTCATATGGGTGTTTAGAGTGTTACCCCCTAGATCAGGTCTCTAGTAATGTGTGCTCAAAGTGCACCAGATTGAAGCATTTTTACTTTAAAATGTTAAACAAAATCTTCCCGGGGGGAACGTATATTACCTATGTCAATAAGTTCTGTTTTTGTAGTGTATTTGTCTTTGTAGAGATTTTTTATTTATTCTTTATATATAAAATCTCGCCTAGGGCAGCAAATGGCTAGAACCGGCCCTGGGTTACTAGGCCTCGAGAGCCTTTCTTGTGCTGGCAGACACATGAAACAAATTGGCGGGGCGCACTTCGCACGTGCAACACTAAAAAAATTCCACGCGCTCCGCGCTCACATTATGCTGGGCCCACAAGCCTTAGCACCGCTGCTATGACTCCATCCTAGGGGAAACACTGGGGACCTATGCAAAATGCACTTTTTGATGTCTTTTATAAATATGTGCTTCCGGTGTGTAGGGAACTCACGCAGTGTCAGAAAATAAAACTCTCTCTCTTTTCCTCCGTACCCAAATCTCTAAAAACGGGGGTACAACGGAGCTGATCCAGATTTGCGGCCGAGATGACGTCAAATCGGCGGCGGACCCACAGCACTATCAGAAAGTTGCTATCAGAAACAATGCCCGACTGTTTTGGACGTAATATGGTCGGTGTTTACATTAGCATCGCTAACACTCAGAGCTAACCTGTACTGGAGAGAGCATGTTTGTGAAGAAGCAGGAAATAAAAAGGAACTCACCTTGTGGTATAACCGGCAAGAGAGAAAGCCTTTGAGCTCCATACTGTTTCAGAAATAATCCTTGATAATCCATGATATGGCGTTTCATCACCGCAGTATGTGCCGGTAGAATCTCCTGCATGAGCAGGTATAAGCTCCGCCCCTCTTTTGTATCATTTTTTTTTAATAAAGCTTTATACATAAAATCAGCACTTTTGAAACAGGAAGTGAAATAGAGGGATATGAGGCATGGCTAGAATGGGTGATCTGTTTGGTATTTTGAGCAAAACACTTCATAGACATGTTTTTTATATATTTTTATATATCTGAGACCTATGCTATTGCCTAAAAATAGCATGGTAGGTGACCTTTAAAGTAAACATTTTAAAATATTGAATTGCTGTCAATCGATTAAAATTAATCGCATTAATGATAAGACAATTTCTGACTTAAAGGCATGAGACTTAGCTAAAGCATGGACAGACACACTGTGACCAAGAGACGCTTTGATTCCTTTCCTTTGTGTAATGTGTGCTACACAGAGCATATTATCAGAACAAGGAGTGGCGATCTTTCCTATCGTGCATTTAAAACACATGACAAGGGGATCTAGTAGAGTTTAGTATGAACAGGAGGAATTATTTCAGAAAGCAAAACCAGTTTCAATGCTCATAGGGCCCTGGAATATAGTTTTTTAAAACAAGAGATAAAAAAGAATCCACATGCTTGATTCTATCCTTCACAACAGGGTCAGAGCCCAAGTAGTTGGGCTGCTAGCTCTGTCTAGTGAGCTATGCTCAGTGTCTGATATTTTACAATACATGGAAATCTTGCTTTCAGCGAGCCTGGATCGGGCTGTATGATGACAGGGACAGCTGGAGGTGGTCAATGTCAAACTCAAGCTTCTACAATAACGAGGAGACAGTCTTCAGACCATGGAAGGATCAACAACCAAGCAACTATTTGAGTAGAGAATACTGCACAGAGACGGATCCCGATGGAAATTGGAATGATGATAACTGTGCGCACTCCGTATGGCAGTCTGCATGGATGTCAAAGGTAGGAATGATTACTTGTGAGGCTAAAAAACAGTTCAAACACGTAAAGGGTTCGTTTTTCCAGATTAGCACTAGCAGCATTTGGGAATTGTATTCGATACCATGTACAGCTACACTGCAGTGATCTGATGGTTTTACAGTACCACATACAGTACATCCTCTGTTAGCGGCTGGCAGGATGTCACATGACAATGGCCCAAAATCTCATATGAGGATATTTCTAATAACTCTGCAGTGCCTGCATGTCCCTCAACCATTACATTTTGAAGTCCTCCATCTCACTCACAAACACCACCCCCCCCCATGAACTACTCCATCACCACACTCCTTCATTCAGCCTCCACACCTCTGACCCCAACCTCCTGTCTCGACCCCAAAGGACCAAGCAACAGACCTGGGGGGGCAGAGCCTTTTCCATCGCTGCTCTTGAACTCCCTCCTCAAATATATTACAAATTAGTGAGAATCACTTTTTTTTTTAAAGTGCTCTTTACATATAATGTATATAATAATTATTACTCTTATGGCGTCTCCACTCAGAGGTTCACTGTGGTCCATTTTCAGGGCAGAATGTGACATTTGTCTTGGTCAACATCCTCATGACCTGGACTGAGGCCCAGAGCTACTGCAGAGCAAACCACACTGACCTGGCCAGTGTGAGGAACATGGCAGAGAACCAGCAGGTACAAGACCTGGTCCCTGCTCGAGGTATCGTCTGGATTGGCCTTTACAGAGACTCCTGGAAGTGGTCCGATGGAAGGAAATACTCCTTTAGTCACTGGTCAGCATCTGAACCCAACAACATAGATGGCAATGAGCTGTGTGTGGTTGCATACTTCGACAACTTTGGAAGATGGGAGGACTGGAGATGTGAAGATAAGAGACCCTTCATTTGCTACAAACTCCTAAAGGGTAACCCGTGACTCATATAGTACTTAGATAAAGGTTTATGTTAACATCAAATGTGCAAACATAATTTAACAAAAACAAGTTATCAACATTCCGGACAAAAACATTTGAAAGTCATGATCTTATTGAGTAGTGTGTTCTTATGGATATTATTGAAAAAGAGATTCTGCAGGGAAAAACATGCTCAGAAAGAAGCAACAGTAAATGTTTTGATTGATGCATTTTTCTTTTCTTTTTTTTTAAGTTGTTTCAAAGCAAGTGATAAAATTGAGCTTGCAGTACACGGGCTCCGATCTGAATCTGAACAACGAGGCTGTGCAGAATGACATGTTGGTGAAGGTACATTTGTTCAAGTTCCAGTTACTTTTAAACAAGATGAAACAATATTGATCTCAAGATGTGAAATTAACCCTACACCAGTAGCCTACCATATGGGCTCAGAACAGTCTCATAATACACACATGCACACAGAAGGATTCACACTTGTATTTCATGATCCGCAAAAGGATTCACACTTGTATTTCCGGATCCACACTTGTGTTTTTCAATGCACACACAAATGTGTTCCGTTTCATATACATGTAAATAAAATCCAAATACAGAAAAAAGTTTTACATATGTATTTTTGATCCTCACATATTTGTTTTCCGTTTAAAACCGATGCACCTACAAACACAAACCGCTTTCTGTGCATGGATCGCTGTGCATTCGTGTGTGGGTTTTTTGAGAGTCCCCTGACGGTGAACCGATTCGTACTTGTAATTTTTTCTATCTATAGCCAATCAGATGTCTCCTCAATTCTAAGCCAATCACATGAGCGCGCCCCCACGAGGGTAGATTTCTTGCGTTCATGACGTAGCGCTTCATGTACGCATTTTGCGCTGTCCGGAGCTGACAGGTCCATGGAGCCTGCCTGCAGGCGCTAATCTCAGGACACTTCCACTCTCAGTACATTGCCACTTTCCGAACAAGGAAATGCACGCAAATACAAGCCTTTATATTATTAAGGTAACAGTGCCACTTTCCGAACCATTAATGAATGCTTGTGTACATAAAAACGGCAGGCAAAACCGTTTTAAATGTGTGTTTCCTGTATGGCGATCAGCTGCTTTATTTATGTCTGTATGAAGTTGTTGTGAGTGTGGAGGGGAGCAGCTACAGGTTAGCTTAGCCTAATCGATCAGTGCACTACGAAGCCAGTGCTAGACAGTGGGTGTTTTCTCAATCGCGAGTACGCTTGCTTGGTAGCACATGTCTGCCGAGCATCTTGCTTCAGAAGCGAGGCAAGAATACTTCCTGGCATTCTGAAAACAAAGAGTGGAACAGGCTAGCAAGTGTGCAGGTGTGCGTCATATGAGAGGCCCCGCCTTACATTTTCCGTCACAGATTTGGGGAAATTGGTCCGTGCACAAAGCATTGTGGGGATTTTAAGACCGCGGAGTCTACTCATGTGCAGCCTCGATATTTCTCCAAACGGAGTACGCCGGGCTCGGTAGATTTCCAAGTATGCTGGAGATTGGAACAGTACTTCGGCAGCACTCGATGACGTAGTATGCTTGAAATAGTGGCTCTGGAGCAGCTTTACTCGCGATTGAGAAACACCCAGTGAACTGTCAACGGGGGGAAGCCCCCGCCGGTCATTATCGGCCGATATTCACTCTTAATAGTTTGATCGGTGCTCTCTATAAAGGCCGATCAGGAGAGCTGGATCTGATCGATATGGACATAAACGCGAGTGAAGTTTTAGCGAGCTGCATGAGAAACTGACGGGCTGTCAGGAGAGAGGGAGGGAGAGAGGAAAAGAGATGATCCTTACTCCCGTGTTATTAGCCATATCCGGTCATAGTCCGGTAATTACCTGCTAACGGAAACTCTGCTACACAATTCTTCTTATTATTCTTATTATTATTGAAACATGACCGGTAAGTTTCAAATTTGTTAAAATTAAATTCTGTCTGCGGAAATCCTGCTCCGGACTACGCAAAATGCATATATGATAAGTGACATGAACGCAAGAAATCTACCCGTGGGGGCGCGCTCATGTGATTGGCTTAGAATTGAGGAGACATCTGATTGGCTATAGATAGAAAAAATTACAAGTACGAATCGGGTGACCGTCAGGGGAGTCTCAAAAAACCCACACACGAATGCACAGCGATCCATGCACAGAAAGCGGTTTGTGTTTGCAGGTTCAGAGGATTTAACGGAAAACAAATATGTGAGGATCAAAAATACATATGTAAAACTTTTTTCTGTATTTGGATTTTATTTACATGTATATGAAACGGAACACATTTGTGTGTGCATTGACAAACACAAGTGTGGATCCGGAAATACAAGTGTGAATCCTTTTGCGGATCATGAAATACAAGTGTGAATCCTTCTGTGTGCATGTGTGTATTATGAGACTGTTCTGAGCCCATAGTACCAGAACAGCTGAGAATTCTGACTGTAATCTCAGAATTTGGTGAAAAAAAGTCTGAATTCTGAGACTTTCTAAAACTCTGATTTTTTTCCCTCAGAATTCACATATTTTTCTCTCAGAAGTCATAATTCTTCTAAGAATTCTTCTAAGAATTCTGACTTCAATCTCAGAATTAAAGAAAGGTTTCACATGTGGCCCTAATCCTCTTCAGTTAAAAAACAGATACAAAATGTGGGATTCATTTACGATTAACCGCAAGTTAAATATGGACATCATGCGATTAATCTCAATTAAATATTTTATTCAATTGACAGCCTGACTAATAAAATAATAACACTTAGCAACCTGTCACCAAATTCCTCAGGAAGATGTACAAACATATATGGCAATGGGAGAAATGGCAGAGCAATTACAAAAGAATAAAGAATGGTACACATAGACTCGAGAGTATATGAAGTAGTGTTGCACGGTGCACCAATACTAGAAAGGTATCGCGATACCCTGCCGTTAAATTTTTTACGATTCCTGCATTTCATTTGTATCAGTAAGAATGACATTGTTTTAAGAGCCGTATTTCCTGTGTGTGTTCAGCGCTCTGCTTCCACTCCCTGCAGCCGTTGTCAACAGTGTACGCAATATTTGTACTGAAGAGAAGTTCATACAGAGTGTGATTCATGCAGATGTGCTTAAATCGTTACAAGTAGATATAAATACTGTATCAGCTACACTATATCAACTATAAATAAATCATCTCTTTCTCTGAGTGATAATGATGGAGTGTTTTTAATCTCAGATCAAACAGCAGATGAAGATCCAGGGATTGGATGACAACATCCAGCTGAGCTGGAGGAAGCAGCCGGATGGAAAGGTCTTCCACAAGGAGCAGAAGGATGAGCTTTAGTGTTGAACTGCTGTGTCGGTTTTCATCAGGGAAAATTGTGCTTCTTTTATCAAAGTCCTCAACAGAATATAGCTTCAACATTACCTGATTGATCCATTAGTTGTAACTATTTTTATTGAAGATGTTATGCTTTTCCTTGTTTTAAATATTGACCTGAAGTTAATATCTTTGAGCTTTAGACTGTTGAAATTATATGCTTGGCATTTCGGAAATAATAACAAGCATTATCCACTAATTTCTGACATTTTTAGATCGATAGATGAGATAAAATATCTAAAGAAATTATAACATAACATAGGATTTTACTGAAGGCAACTCCAGTAAAATGCAGTTTTATCATTTTTTACCCTTTTGTTGTGAAGAATCTTGTCGTAAAGAGTAGGCTAAATGTTGTTGAGATCTGAATATTAGGTTGAATAATTAAAACGAAAGTTAATTATAATCAAATATAATCAAATATATTCTTGTAACCCACAATGAAAATGTATTATATTTTATGTTGTTCTATAATCACAGTATATACAAAATACAGGTTTGTTAAGTTGAGTTTAGAAGCCTATTATAGTTTATGGGTGTCACTGATAAAAGAGGGGAGACAGTTTCTTCCCTCACAGCTGTGTACAGGGGGAGGGGGCCCTGACTCAATGGAAAAGTACTGAAGCCCCAAAATGTGTTTAGGCCATAGCATAGGAGAATATGTCTGGACATGTCCAGTCCTGCACACCAGAGGTCATGACTTTTCCCCCACATATGAAAGGAGGTGTCTTTGGTTTTTCTGTCCCTGCGTGGATCATAAAAGCACTGTCTGAGAGGGAGAAAGCGAGAGAGCGGGGTTTTTCCCCTGGTAAGCTCTCTCCTTGGTAGGTTCTCTCAACTTGGTAAGATCTCTCAAATTGATTTGTGTCGTCTGAAATGAAACAGCAGTTAATTGAACCTGGTTCTTCAGGAGTTAATAGAGGTGAGACCTTGCTGACCTTGGTGGATCTGAGCCAAGCAGTAAACTTACATAGACTCAATAGCTTCTGTTAGGTCAATTAGTAGGTCTGAGTAATTTGCCTCCCGACTCCAACAACGTATTTCTTTATTTGAGAGTGATATTGCACTTTAAAAATCTCTTAACATTTTCAGAATATCTTCAAATTAAGATCACTTTATTAATTCCTGAAGATGTAAAAGTTAATCGGATTACTGTTACATCATTTCTAAAAATAAGGGATTACTGGCAGGATTACAATGTTACTAAAAACCTAGTGTTAGTTGTAAAAGGATCAGATGTTCTCTCTTCTCTGTAAGCTGTACTGTTCTATAGGATAATACTTTAAGTGTGAATCTACACCTATACTGCTTGAATCTGTTTTATGGTTTTCACTTTCTTTGCTTCATTTGTTCTGTTTTTAATTCAGTAGGTGAACCTATATGTTCATAAAATAGTGTGTGTGAGCTTAACTGTGTGTATTAAACTAAAACGGAGCATTTTCTGTCGGCTCAGGGGCCTCATTTATAAACGTGGCGTATGCTCAATAGATGGCCGACGCCAACATTTATTTCCGTTGACACAGAGATACGTGTCAACATAATGCCATACATCTAAATATTACCTCTCATCGATCATATATGAAGAGTTCATTTTTGCAAAAATTGATAAAAGCCAGTTTTAAGATTAGGATTAATACCTAGATTGGATCACACAGGTTTAAATGGCTTAATGGCGAAAAGTAACAATGAAAACCGGAGTTGAGAAAAGTCAAACGTTTTTTATATGCACTGTATGGCATTGTAAAATCACAGTGGCTGGAAGGGAAGATATGAAAAGGCCTTAGAAGCTGAGATGTCACTGTTTTACTTCTGATAATCATTGTAGGATAGTTTAGATCAGGGGTGTCCAAACTAAAAGTAATGACTTAAGTATAATAAACTTCTTCTTGTCTTATATTGTACTTCTTAATATAGTAAAGTTGAAAACATGTTCTAACAAATATAAGTTGATAAGAAAAAAGCCCAATAACAAATTCACATAACAACCTTGAAATATACCCTTCATATTTCCTCTCATTATAAGTAATCTGAAGCTTCTGTTTTAAGGAATGAGCTGCCAACAAAATAAATGAAACCCTCTGGAGAGCTGTGATAGAGGCTGATTTTTTCTTACAGCATTTTCAAGTATCAAGAATAATTTACGTACATTGGATTGACTTTTCCAACTTATAACTTAATGTATGAGGCAAAATACCTCTAGTGAGTGGCCCAGCCCTTCTTTTTCTGTATGCGGCCCTCGGTGAAAAAAGTTTGGACACCCCTGGTTTAGATATACATATGGTGAATAGTGTGTTACCCGGCCACTCCTGTACACGTGGTGGCAGTATGCACCTTACAGCTGTTTGCTATGCAGCTTTCAACCCGAGAGAAGAAGAGGAAGATGAACTGTAGCGAACTCTAGCAAACCAAACCGGTCGTAGTGTCAGAAACATGGCGGCGTTCAGTAAATATGTGACAGGGAAGAACTCCTCCATAGCCGGCGGTATCCTGCTGGTTTTATACCTGCTGAAGCGCAGAAGAGGGACGCAGAAACGGAACGGGTGAGTAGGAGCAGTAAATAATGTTAGGGTTGGTTTTAAACGCAGAAATAGAGGTTTTCAGGTGAGTTTGGGACGGCTGTCGGGATGCTAATTAGCAGCTGCTAGCCCCTCCATTCTGACAGGTGACCTGCCAGGGGGAAACTCCTGGATTGACTTCCATGTTTTTCAATGAGCAGACGGCTCTTTCCTGCGCACTTTGGCCGCCTTGCTCACTGATCCGAGCAGCTCTAAAACAAGCACAACCGAGTCATTGTTCTGCAAAAACTCACTTTACAAGATGCCCATGCACACCCATTAACTGCCGATGTGTGTAACTTTGCATTACTTTGTTATTTCTCAATTATCACGTCTCTGTGTTGAGATTTAAATGTTTCCTTTGTTATTCTTTGTCCTCACGTTGCTCTAAGAAGGGATTATGTCGCCCGGACAGAATCGGTGCGCCAAAGTTCCTTAAAAAATAATAGTTTAAGTGTATCTTAGTAGAAAACGTTCCTGTTACAGTAAAAAAACAAGTTTAGAATTGTGATATGCAACCCTTTTTTCCGGCATAAAATATATGAAACACAATTTAAAAAAAGAAAGAAAGAAAATGCCAGTAGAAAATAGCCTAAGTTTAACAGAGGAATCCAGGATTGATCAAGGAGGCGTTCAATGACACAACTGTCCCTGAAGTTATGTAAACACTATATGTAATAGAACTGGAAACAGACAGAGGCACTGGTTAAATGATCTGTTATACAAAATAAATAAAACATAGAACTACTTCTTCACTGTTTTTTGGTCTGAAATCTTCTACAGGGCAAAAGCGTGTTCCGTAATACCAAACATACTAACATTGTACCTACTAGACATGGATAATCGTTGATGTAGTAAAAGGGACACTGTGTTCCTGCATTAAGACTGAATATACACACACACACACACACACACACACACACACATTCCTTAACTCATTCACTTATTTTAGTAGGTAATTAGATATTCTTTTGCACATTAAGTACAAATCTGGTTATACACATACAGTTGTGCAACTTCGCATTTGCTTTGCTTATCTTATTCGTCTTCTTGCTGCCTTTGTTGTTGCTACCTGTGGAAAAGTGTGAAATCATTTGCAGGGCTGTGTGTAGTTTCACTCGCATGTGTTTGTGCCCTTTCAAAGATGCTCACACACATATCATCTGATTAATTATGTTTCTCTTTGCAGTAAAAAAGGAGGCTCCGAAGTAGTACAGAACGAGGTAGGTCTAAAACATTTTCATGTGTGTCTGGAAAAGTGTCCATACATTTTGTCATCAATGGCAACCTGTAGTTGTATCACAGCCCACCCTTTGTTATATCTCTTCATTCAGAAAGATGGCAAAAAAGACCGAGCCGCTGTGGACAAAGTTTTCTTTGGCAGAATTTTCCAGATTCTGCGGATCATGGTACCCCAATTCTTCAGCATGGAGGTATGACATCGACCTGCTGTTCAGCTCGTAAAGTCTTTACCATAGATTAAACCAATTCTACAAATGAAACACTAAAAAGTCACCTGGTTTTCATAGAAGCTTTTAGCAAAATCAGAAAGTCCTAAATCTTGATCAGGCCTTTTTTTTGCGTGAACTGTCACAGTTTGTTCATGGCACGCTGTTTGCCGGGATTTTACTTTTGGGATGTTAGATGAATCCCAAAATAGAGCAGGTGATTTCAGATGAGATTTGTTGTTATAATGCCGGAAGCTTCACCTTCAAGCCTACCTAGAAGTTCGATTTTAAAACATTTTATACGATGCTAGGGTTAATACGAATTTAGAAATCCTTTATTAGTCCCAAAGCGGGGAAATGTACATCGTGACAGCAAAGGGGACAGATTTTATTGAACTAAATATCAAACGTACAGATGCAAGATATAAAATAAGTAGCAGCATTATAATAGATAGTGAAAAAAAAGTGGTGCACTCGCAGCCACTAGTAGCATTTTTGTAATTTGGCGAGAATTCAACATCAATCCAAGTGTCATTATGACTGGTGTACCTTTGGCACACTTGTATATCGGCTCCATAAGTCAAGGCCACAGCCACATGTTTCCTCTAGTCCAGTCTTATCCGATCAGTTCAGCAGATATGAGCGGAGTGAAGTGCAGCACGATTAAGGGTTTTATGATGTACGGGGTTTACCAACTATTATCTGTGCTTGTTGTCTTCCCCAAAGACTGGCTACCTCGCCTTAATCGCCGCCATGTTGGTGGCCAGGACCTACTGTGACGTATGGATGATCCAGAACGGCACCATGATCGAAAGGTCTGACTCTTATTACAAGTTTGAAACAGATTTTACAATTCAGTACCATAAAAACATATTGGGGATATCATGTTGTCACCGTCTAGAATCCATGTGAATGTTAAATAAATCCACAGCTGAGTGACAGGAGGAATATAAGCAGTTTATCTCCTTAAGTCCCATTGTAAAGTGTTTAAAAAGCTATTGTTCATATATTTCCATTGCTTTTTCTGTACAGTGGTGCAGGAATGAACCCGGAAATCTGTTAGCATATTACCATTTCAGTTTTCCCTCGTCTCAAAGTCGATGGTTTTTTGAACTTTTCCATTTTGGTTAGAAGCCTGAAATAAGGTCTGTGGTTAACACAAGCTGAAGATATTATCAAATGCTCTTGTACGACATTAGTAAATACCCCTCTGGTGAATACAAAAATGGTGATTGTTAACAAATGAAACTATGTGCGTAATCATGCCGAACATTTGCCATCTTAAGCTTAGCGGTGGTGTGAAGTCATGTGACCAGGCTCTAGCTTGTTTATAGCCTAACCACTTCTTGCAGTTGCATTTACACTTTAAAAAACAAAGTGGTGTTTACAGTATATGTTGAAACTGCTCTGAACTAAAGGGGTTAAG